CTTACAATTTCGGTCTACGCCTATAGACCTTCAATATACTGATATATACCACTATTAGAAATTAATTTCTCCGGAGATTAAAAAGCTAAACTTTCAAAACCGGTGTATCAACCAGAAAGCAGATAGGGAAAGCTGGGGTGACCCACTGATGAGCCGGTAGCTGTGTCAAGCAGCGGCAGAATACCGGCGAAACACGCGTCTGGGCCTTAGGCGGCAGAATACCGGCGAAACACGTGTCTGGGCCTTTTAGCAAGTACCTAGGAAAGCTGGGCGACCCACTGATGAGCCGGAGCCCTCGCAGCTGTGTCAAGCGGGAAAGCGGGGGAACCACTGATGAGCCGGACCCCTAGCAGCTGTGTCAAGCAGCGGCAGGTGACCCACTGATGAGCCGGACCCCTCGCAGCTGTGTCAAGCAGCGGCAGAATGACCCACTGATGAGCCGGACCCCTCGCAGCTGTGTCAAGCAGCGGCAGAATACCGACTGATTAGCCGGAGCCCTCGCAGCTGTGTCAAGCAGCGGCAGAATACCGGCGACACGTGTCTGGGCCTTTTAGCAAGTACCTAGCCTGTTAGTATGGTAAGTTACGAGCCGGACCCCTCGCAGCTGTGTCAAGCAGCGGCAGAATACCGGCGAAAATCGTGTCTGGGCATTTTAGCAAGTACCTAGGCTGTTAGTATGGTAAGTTACAAATTAATTTATACTATTAACGACTGTCTGATGGCAGCATGTGTATATTTCACAGACTAAACCCTAACCCTAAACCCTAACACTCAACCCTAACGATAAACCTTAATCCTAAGCACTAACCCTATCACTAAACCCTAAACCTAAACGCTAAGCCCTAAACCTTAACCCTTACTCTAAAACTAACCCTAATCCTTACCCTAATCCTAGCCCTAACCCTTACCATAGCAGTGCAGTTAATGCGTTGTTAATAAAATCAGTGATAAATAAATAACGAGATCTTCGAAATTTTGTAATTGTAAATGAACGCCATGACAGCCCACTATTCATTAAGCGAAAATTGCAGATTTAACCCACCAATCATCTTCAAGAACGGCAACCAAAAAAACCAACAAAATTAGTCGTGTATCGTACACTTCAGTTCACTGCCTCTATATAATCTCTATAGAGTTGCTATAGAGATTATACAGAGTTGATATGGAGTCGAATATTGTGTCCAATTGGGCGCCATTGGACCATTTTAATTATCGCGCGCAAATAATCGGTTTTTTAAATAAGCTGTATGGGAACCTAAATTGAACTGTTACTGTTACATGTTTTCCAAATGTCGAATAATTTTGAGGCCCATTTGCCACTGCATCCGAGTTTACAGGGTTTTCAGTCTGCAAGCTGTATATTTTCCGTGTGGGGAATAAGACAGGTTTGGCTGTATGTTGAGGAATAGTCCAGCTGCTTTCAGCGCACGTATCCTCAAAAGATTACCAGAAAATGCATTACAACTTAGTTGATTATTCTTTAATAGGAAAGAGGGATCCCCAGTTCCACTAGAAGCCGTTATGGCATCCACGTGGGACCCAAGCCCTGTGTCACCAGTGCCTACGTGTCCGGACCAGCAACCCTCAGTGAAGCCCACCAGCCCACTAATCACAGAAACCCCAACCCTGCCCATGACCAACAAGTCGCGTACCCCCAAGCGACAGGTCAGGCTACGAAATCACTCCGCTCAGACAAGACTTGCCGCCATTCCCACTTCCCGCGCCTCTGTGCTGCTTCGAAGGGTGATTTTCGATCCGAAAGTGGCGTCATCCCCAAAGCCTGGAGTGGAAACTGAGCCTGGAGCAGACATGGCAGCCATTCTGCCTCTACTGAAACAGTGCAGTCGCTGCGGATCGCAGCGTGTTCGACTACTACTCATTGAGCGCTATCCGGAACCTGCGCCGACACCCAGCACGGAGACGCCGTCCCCACGACCTCTTCTGCTGCGAAGGCGCGCCAAGCGCACGCTCTCAGGCGAGGTGTTGGAGGCACCAAAGCGGAGCGTATCCACGAAACGTGAGAATAGGCGTTCTGCTCGATTCCACACTCAGCCCATTTGGTGAGTGGTGGAATTTTGCCTCATACCACTTTGCTTTACCATCGCATATTTGCTTCAATCAATGTTATTTGTTTTCTCCTAAAGGATTTGCAGATAGTCAGACTTCTGAATACTTTCGAAACTGTTGAGTACATTTGTTAGTGTTGAGACTCATCTTTTTTTACAGAAAACTTTAATTTTACCTTCATTTTCCCCAGAAGAGGAAGAAGAAGTGGAGGCGATT